AAATCATTCCTTTGTTTAGTGGCTTGATTTCTAAACCTCAGATTTCTCATCTGGAAAGAAAGTAAATCCCCTAGGAGTACCATAACAATAATCCATCCTGCAAAGGATAACATGTTGCCTAAAACAGAATGAGATCCAAAGTTTCATTTTTCATATTATTTCATCATTCTTATGTTTAACATTAAGGTAACATCTTAGTATTACTCATGCTTAAGTATGTGTGTTGTTTATATTTAAAAATTTTAATTTACAACTCTTTAAATTAATGGTTGATCGCTTAGTTTATGACTATTTCTGTCTCTATAATTCATGGGATTAGGGTAGTTCATTTAGGAACTTCTAAATCTCTAAATCCATGGTTTAGTCATTCATTCATACACCAGCATTTATTATGTTAGGCATTATTCTTTTCATTAGATTGTTCTTTTCTGCTGAATTGTAAACTCTATGTGGGTAAGAACTATGTTTGTTTTAGTCAACATTATCTCCTCAGTACTTAACAATGTCAGTCTGTTATTTGAATAAATAAACGTGGATATAAAAATAGACAAAATTCCTGTCCCTGAAGAGCTCACCATCTACTTGAAAGACAAAGAAAGGGTCAGAAATCAATTTGATGACTCCTGTAATTAGGGTGGCCATATAATTTATTGTCTGAGACAAGTTTGATCATAAAAAGGAACAAAGTTGATAATTATGCTAAGATGACAGGTATGAACAGGGATCATCTTGGGTCAAGCAAGTCATCTTGGGTCAGATGGTCATCCTAGGTACCTAAGGTATTTCATTAATTAATTTTTAAAAATTATTTATTTATTTATTTAGGTGTAGATGGACACAACACAATGCCTTTATTTTTATGTGGTTCTGAGGTTCCAACCTGGGTCCCGCCCGTGCTAGGAGAGCGCTCTACTGCTGAGCCACAATCCCAGCCCCTCATTAATTAATTTAACAAGTGTTTATTGAACACTCTCAGGTGATATGTTGAAAGAACTACAAGCCACTTGATTCCCTAAAAATTGAAGTAATGAGGCACCAAACATCAATAAATAAGCAGAAGTGGGCCAAATCATAAAAGGCTCTGTATACTAAGCTAGAAAAGTGGATTTTATCCTAGAGATGATAAGAAACCCCTAGAGGGGCTTTTAGGGCTGTAATGTGGTAGGATTTCTGTTTTTAAATAAACACCAGTTGTGGGCAGGCTGGCAGGGAGACAAGAAGCAGGGAGACTAATTAAAAGTCTGTTATAAGTAACTCAGTAGAGAAATAGTAGGTCCTGAACCAAAATACTACAGCAGTAGAAATAGGGAAGAGGGGCACATTACAGTGATATCTAAAAGGTTGAATCAAGTAGATTTAGACATTTTACTATGGTGGATGAAGGCAGAAGACCTGTATAAATCCTAAGTAGGATTTTATCATTTGTAGCTCAATACATTATCTTATTTTAATGTTCATCAGTAGTAAAAGGTGTCTTCAAATCAAATTATAGAGTTCCCATAAGTCTAGTGCATACTCTCACAGGTAGACCACAGAGATAAGAATCCCTGTGTCAGTCATCAAGCCAGGCATTTTTAATTGCTACCATATGAAATGGTCCTCACTAAGACTCAAGTACTTAGAAACCAGAAGAAATAATCACTGTCTATAAAAACAAAAAATGAAAAAAAAAAAGAAATGTGAGATTCCTGAAAATTATAGCAAAATTATATCATGCAAACAAACGTAATACCTCACTAATTCTCAAATCACATGTTCAGCAACCTCAGCTATACAAAATACAATGAAGCAGGAAATAAGCAAAAAGAGACCCAGAATAGCCAAAATAAACATTACAAAGTCCATGCACTAAAGTTAACACATTTTACTCCTAGGAGAATTCCACAAGCCTTCACTCAGAGCCGATTTACTCTTTCTTAGGTACAATTCTAATAAGCTTGATTATTTGGCTTTCCCATTTACAGCTGATTAAGATTGTCAAATTAAAAGGGGGCAGCCATTAAAAAGAATGAGATAGACTTGAATGTACTGACATGGAAGGATGCCTTTTATATACTGTCAATTGTGAAGAAAAGCAAGTCATAGAACATTATGCATTTATGATTTAATATTTGTGTATATGTGTGTGTGTGTGTGTGTGTGTGTGTGTGTGTGTACACACACATTGACAGAAAAAGGCCTGAAGAGAAACACACTAAACTGTTAACAATGAATATGCCTAAGGAATGGGAGTGTGGGTATGGGTGAGTGACACTAATGAAGGAAGGATTTGGATTTTTTACTTCATACATTTTTGTTTGTTTCCAATTAAGATGTATTTGTTTTGTAATTTTTAATATCCATTACAAAGTATATAAAAGGAGCAAAGGGAACCAGGCACAATGGCACATGCCTGTAATCCCAGTGACTCAGGAGGAAGGCTGAGGCAGGAGAATCACAAGCTGGAGGACAGCCTCGGCAAAATAAAGGTCCTGTCTCAAAATAAAATATAAAAAGGGCT